CGGCGGATCGCAACGCAGGGACAGTGGGTTAAGGTCCACCCACAGCTGGAAGGAGGGCTCTAGCCGCGAAGCCGCCGCCACCACGAACCCCCCTCACACCGATTCCCAACGAGACCCGTTTTTATCACACACTAAATAACGAAATACACAGAACTTTCACGAAAACCACATAGAAAACACATGGGCTTCCAGGACCAGTATTCGTTGGGATGATCGCAAGGGAGTATAATCATGTGTTTGTTTACGATACTGGCGTGTCATCCGGTACCCGTATGGAAGGGGGGGAATACAGTCTGCACAAAAAGTATAGACGCACCCCACAATTTTGGGTTCACAAAAGATCTGCTGATGCTGCAGCCACGCTAGTTGTACGTGCAGAAATTTAATAAACCAAAACGGTATTCCCCAAAAGGAATATAGGCTGCTTGTAGCCGTTCACAAGAAAAATCAAAATTTCGCAAATTTGGTTGCACAATTAGTATAGACGCACTCTCAATCGATACATTTATTTATCGATACATTGACCACGGCGGAGGATAACTTGGGCCATTCGTGTTGGCATACCTTCAGCCAACTTAGATAGGTACCCCTGATCGATTTCAGCCCATGATTTTTCAATCTGAGCTTTCAATTCGGCTCTGCTTTCAAACTGACGACCGTTTTCATAGACCTTCCTCGCGAGAACGCCCCAAACATTCTCAATTGGGCTCAAATCGGGGCTCTTGGCAGGCCAAGGCATTGTTGGCCACGGCATTTCAGCAAGGTAGGCCATGGTGGAGTGGGAACGATGAATACTGGCATTATCTTGTTGAAAAATGGCCTCATGGTTAGGGACCAAGCCAACAAGCTCGCGCATTGCGGGCAACAGGTGCGATCGCAGGGTTTCTTGGTACTTTCGGGAGTTTTGGCGACCCTCCAGGAAGGCTAACGAGGTCTTGTTGTAAAAACTCATGCCACCCCACACCATAACCGAGCCACCTCCTGCGACACGTTTCGAGTACGTCTCCACATCCTGGCGCAAGTCGTGCCAGTAGTACTGGCAACCGTCGGGGCCGTCTAGGTTGAACTTTTTTTCGTCCGTAAATAACGTAGCCTTCAATTCAGCAGCCTTGTTGAGGTAGCGACTTGCGAACTCGACACGATCTTTTCGGTGCTTGGGGGTGAGTCGTGGACCGGACCGGCGCTTGATGTACTTGGCGAATTTAGACGCCTTTAACACGTTAAGAACAGTGTTTCGTGTTACTTTACCCTCTAGTGCAGCCGAAATCTGCTTGCAAGGACATGTTCTTGCGGGTGGCGAGGCGAAAGATACGTCGGACGTCACGGCGCTTGAGCTTGAAGGGTCTCCCATGCCTTTTTTGCGGTACTGGTTGGCCAATACTTCGGACAAACGAACGTACAAGTTTGTCGCTTCGCTGGATTGCTTTGGCGATGTAGCGATAGCTCTTTTTAAGCTGAAGAAAAGCCATTATCTGGCCCTTCTCTTGCTCGGTGATGTTTGGCCCCCTTGGCATCCCTGGGGGTCGTTTTTCCCGTCTTGAGATTGCTGGTGGTAGCTCGTCATGATTGTAAAACATGTGTACCAATTTGGAGGCTAATAATTGGCTAAAAAGTGCAAAAAATATCCAATAGAAGCTTCGAATTCAAAGTGCGTCTATACTTTTTGTGCAACCAAATTTTCGAAATTTTGGTTTTTCTTGTGAACGGCAATGAGCAGCCACTGTTTCCTTTGGGGAATGCCGTTTGGGTTTAGTACATTTCTGCACATACAACTAGCGTGGCTGCAGCATCGGCAGATCTTTTGTGAACCCAAAATTTTGCGGTGCGTCTATACTTATTGTGCAGACTGTAGCTCATTGTCAATGGAGGTTTATTAGAATTTTAACCGGATATTATTCCTAACTCAATATTGCCTTCTAGCGTTATCCGGCTGATTGGGCTCACTCGGTGGGGTGTTGGTTGTGTTTACAGTGTTTTCACGACCCGGATATTTAACCGAACCGCGGGTCCTCTTCATCCGGATATCCCTCGCGTGACGGTTTTTGAATTCGTCGAAAAGAATGGCGGGACCCGGATTCGAACCGGGGACCTTTGGGTTAAAAGACTGATGCACTACCAACTGAGCTAGTCCAACCATGGACTCGTGATGCAGCTGATCGCCATGCGTGAATGGCAGCACGTCTACGACGAGGATCAAACACTGTCGGTGGTCAAGGCGGGAACAGCCTGTATCCTTCGACTAGTCCAACTGGGTCTCGCGCTGCCAGCGCGTCGGTACTAAGTTCCGCCTACAGTCTCATCACACCCAGCCTATTCCATCTGTCAAACTGCTCACCTGTAATATCAACGGCATCACCCCCGTCGACAACGGCCATACCTTTTGTCGAGCGCATCATGCGCAAGGCAAACATTGTCGCATTACAAGAGACGAAACTGAGAGACAGCCATCACCTGTCCACTTTCACCTAACCTGTCCACTTTCACCTACCACATTCAACACGCTCTCGGGCACGGAAAATGCTTTATTGCTGTGAACAACCCCCGTGCCAACCCCGAGTATGTCCCCGCGCTAATCGAGGACACAGCGCATCGTAGCGGTGGCGTCGCCCTGGTCTTTGACGACACTGTCCCAGGCTTCCGGGACCTCCGGCATATGACCGAGCTCGACGTCGCCTGCAAATACATGGTGGTCAATACCCATTGGCAGGAGACCCATGTATACTTCCACTGTGTATATGCACCTGTTCAACCAACAGAACGGGTCGCATTTTACGACAGTCTACCACGCGACTTTCCAGAGGACAGCATACACGTAGTCATTGGAGATCTCAACCTACCATTGGACATGTGCGTTGACGCGGACAAACCGCACCACGTACATACCGTGGGCCGAATCAACTGTTTGGAATGGCTTGCAGCCCTACGTGTGACCGACGCTTGGCGCATGCATCACGATGAGGATCGTACCTATTCGGGGCCACACAAAACGACCCGCTTAGACTATATCAACTGTTTGGAATGGCTTGCAGCCCTACGTGTGACCGACGCTTGGCGCATGCATCACGATGAGGATCGTACCTATTCGGGGCCACACAAAACGACCCGCTTAGACTATATCAACTGTTTGGAATGGCTTGCAGCCCTACGTGTGACCGACGCTTG